GGAACCTTTGCAAAATAAAGTCAACTGTTGATGAACAGAGGAGTACAGTGCAACACTCACTATCTACAACTTTTTCTCGCTGTGTTCTGGTCGAATCTGTTCACTGGGGAGCATGCTGTGGACAAAGTTCAAAAAGAAAAACCTCAATACTGAAAAGACTGATCAGCTCTCACTTTCTGGTCCACATGCAAACGGGGTCTTAATTCCAAATGTGCGTCTCTAATCAACTTATCTGACAGCGTATTGCAACCCCCTAATACAATTACATACACAATACAGCCTCTACATGGAGTGTTTTCCAGTTGTGCACAGATGAATGAACGCGCTGAGTTGGGATACATTACTGGAATGCATGTGCGGATCATGCATAAAAGGCTAATCTCTTAGGCAGAAATGGCAACCAAAATAGAAGCTGTGATCTTGATGCAACACTGCTGAAGGCACTTGATTATCATAATTCCATACAATTACACATTATCTCATCCAGCTGGGTGAAACTGAATAGGCAGTGTCAGAATGATGGGTTTTTTTGTGGCAAAGACCCAGAGTCTGTCATCAAGGCTGCAAAAACATCTTACTGATGGTTGATGAAGAATAATTAGGATTTCTATCTTTTGCAGTCACCAAGTAACACCTGACTGTGCATGACGGATACATTTTTTTGGAGACCTCCTCTTTTGATTTGGCCCTCATACAAGTGTAAGATCAAATTTCAGCTCTGTTTTGGCTAAAGGGGAGCCCCCTGCACGCTCCCACGGGAGAGATGGGGGGGTCTGCTGATAAGAAGCAAGCCCCCGTGTAGTGTTCGTGCGCAGAATGAGCGATGCGCTCCCGCTGCGCTCATCCTTTGGTGGACTGAGGCGATGGAGACATTTCTGATAAAGAAACAAAGTGTACTAAAACAATATACGGGGATTTTTCACGATATTTGCGATGCTCATCTTAACCCAATGGACTTTCCATTCACAAATACATTCTCTTAAGCAAAAAACAAACAAACAAACAAACTAAGTGTCTTCCATCCTTACCGCATAGCAGCTGCATCCAGGCGCACGTCTTATAGACCGTGGCGGTGTTGCAGAAGAAGAAGAGGGCGAAGCAGCCGATGCAGCTGATGATGAGCACCGTGGACATCAGCACGAAGAAGGAGGCCGCCTTGAAAGCTCCCGACGGGATGGAGCTGAATTCAGAGAAGGTGCCCTGGCACAAGAGCTCCCTGTTGGAGTTCCCGTTGCCCACGCAGTAGTGGAACAAGCCGAAGTAGCCGGCGTGAGGGGTGTTGATGCTGTCGCCGATCCAGTAGGGCTGGGTGAAGACCACCACGTTGATGATGGCCAAACAGATAGTGAAGATCGCCCACAGGACCCCAATGGCCCGGGAGTTGCGCATGTAGGTGTCATGGTAGATTTTGGATGCTTCCTGGGAAGGCAGCATTTTTCTCTCACCACCCCCCCACCAACCCCCCCGCACAAATATCCAAAAGGTCCAGTGACTCCCCTCGTCTCCCTCTGAAGCTCAGTCAGTCAGCCGCTCTAGATACTGCTTTTTTTTTTTTTGGATGGTCTACCCCTGTCCCTCCTGCGTCCCTCCTTCTTCTTCTTCTTCTAAGATCAGTCAGTCAACTCAGTGGTGAAGCGTGATTCAGCTGACGGGGGAAGCCTCTCCTCTCCCCTCCTCTCCTCTCCTCTCCTCTCCTCTCCCCTCTGCTCCTCTCAGCGCGTAAAGGCACAGCAGAACAGACAGCCGAGCTCACGGAGCCAAAAACAGCGGCCAGTGACGGACGGGGTGCGCATCATAGTCTTCCTGTAGCATCTCACCTCCACCCGATCTGCTGTGCATTCAGACCCAACAGGCTTCAGATGAGATATGAGTCGATTTTCCCCGAGATGATGATGAATCCTACCAAAACGAACAAAGATCCAAAAGAAATAGACGGAGACTCTGTTGCAGACATTGACATACTTGAATCCGGATTTAAAACTTGACAACAAAAGAAAGCCCGAGAATGGACAATGTACAAAAAAATAGAAATCGGTTCTTCAACAGCGCACACACTGCCGACCCTGTGACAGTGGTTTTGGAGGCTGTGTGACTCTCTCCCTCACACCCCGGCTGCCTCCCTCTCCTCTCTCTCTCTCTCTCTCTCTCTCTCTCTCCTCTCTCCGAGGAACACCGTCGACTTGTGGATGCTTTTTGAAATTGCAAAATGTGAACACCCCCTCCCTCTGGACAGCCACAACACACTTTTTAAATCAAACACTTTAAGGCTTTCCTGAGAGAGTATTTAAACCTCAGCCTTAAGAGACCAGCAATAATTTGTTTTGAATTAAGGAATCAAACTCAAAATAAATAGGCCAAAAGCCCAAGTTAAGTTATGTGATCATTTCCGTCATTAAAACATCTTGGACTCTTGTAATGCTGCACAAATATAGGACCCAACACCAAAATATATAAAAAAAAAACATTTTTTTTTGTAACTTAGGACCTATGCAGATTAATCCATGTCTCCAGGCAAGATATAAATCATGCAGTTAATATTACCTGAACATGTATTTGAATTGTGTTGACTAATGAAGTATACTGAAGACAGAAGTTAAAACAATATGTCACATTTGAGAAGCTTGACTTGAATAAATGTTTAAATAACATTGAGAGCTTATCTGATGAATTGGTTTGACACATGACTTAATGTAAGACGTGTGCAAAGCAGCGTGGAGCAGTCATGTTTGCCAACATACCAGCAGCACATAAAGTATTCATCAGCTGTGCGGCTGAATGATCAATATTAACACTGACTGATGGATTTGACTTGAGCAGTCCTCATGTATAAATGAATGTCACAAGAACGCAACCCCGTTGGAAGAAACTGTCCTCTATGATTAATGGAAACGATTATTTTTAAATAACTGTCATGGGACTTTCGGCACAATCCAAGTTAAATAAGGCGGGTCAGTCAGGGGTGGGCTGTTCCAGATAAAACTATTAAGAAGATATTTCATATCATTGTGATTTTTAGTGACAAGCTTTCGCCAATAAAATCTCTATTAGCCTATATTTTTCTAAATGTTTTCAGGATTGTGATTATATATACATTCCTTATTTTTTCCTTTTTATTATCATATCATAATGTGTATTGAATTTGTTTTCTATTTACTTTATATTCATTTTACTGGATATCCTTCACTGCTGACACACAGCCCACAACACAAGTGAAAGGGATGGAAACTGAGGAGTGCTGGACACGTTTGACAGCTGGAGTTTTGCACAAGGAGGACCACAGCCGCACGCACCAGCCATCAGGCCACTGGCGCCCCTCATGCAATTTCAATTTTTGAGTTAAAGTTTCATTATTCATAACTACATTTCGCCAGGGAAAGTGGAGTGAGGTGATGGCAGCTGAGGATCAGGAAACCACCAAAGCTTCATGAGGTGAACGAGGCATGGAAATAGTAGCCAAGGCCTGTTCTCCTGGAGTAACAAGAACAGCTACACAAATGATATAAGGAGATGCATACCTGTGTGTGTAACAAGCAGAGATAAAGTGCAATGTTAACCCTCTAATATTGCAGCCTTTACCCTTAATATTGCAGGTAAATGCTGCACAGCTGATTTTGTTCTCCTTAAAGTTTTAAGTCACCAATGGGTGCATAGAGAGGCCCCAAATCATATGCTATTAACCATCAAAATGTTCACATATGCACTCCTCAAAATGTCGGGTAGACTGCCCCTGAAATCCTCAGGACCTGCTTGTTCACACATGCATCCTAACACTGGAAACTTTTCACACTTACAGGCAGAACACTTACGCCCCTTGTTACGCCGTGCATGCAACATGTAACACACAGTTGCAGAATGGTGGGGCGAAGTTGTTCCAGATTTGCCATCAGAGGTACTAGTGACAGAGGTATAACGGGGGGAAAGAGCTGGCAATGTGTAATGTAGGAGCTGGTGAGGCAGAACAGCGCTGTGTGTGTGTATGTGTGCATTCCCGAGTGTGTGTGTGTGTGTGTGTGTGTGTGTGTATGTGCTACCCCTGTGTGCTCACACATCGTGCTTCTCGCTGGTTCTGCAACATCATACTGCAATTTAATTTAAACACACTGGGACACCAATATTAATCTGTTACAGGTGCAATAAGGTAAAATAAGACAAGATAATCCTTTATTTATCCCACAATGGGGACATTTACATTGTTACAGCAGCAAAGAGCAAAGATTGCAAACAAAAAGTGAACACAGTACAATTTAGATTAAAAAAAAAAAAAAAATTAAGAATGTACAAAAAAATAGATACTAAAAAATAGATTTAAAAAAAATAAAAAATAGATCAGCTATTTGAAAAAATATGTTAGTACAAGGGTGTAATGATGGTGAAACATTGTTACAGCGCTGTCGTTGAACCACAGTCTGCAAGCAGCTTATCCCGGTTGGACTGGAGGAAGGGGAGGCTCAGGAGACAAGACATGACGTAAAAAGGACATGGAAGAGTCCAATACGATGCTACAGTGAGAATTGTTGCCTTTAGTTCAACAAAACTAAACAATGCTTTTTTCTTGATTAATAATTTATTCTTTTAAAGTCTAACATAACGATATTCTGTTTTTATTGCTTTCATCTTTGTTGTACTTTTAGGTAGGTGCAGAAGCCCCTAAACATATGCATGATAATATTTAATTTAGCTGAGTGATAATGAGCAAAGTTAAGATGTTTTTATGATATCTCATCTAATATATTTTGTAATCGTGGGATAAGCACACTGGTTTCCCCATGATAATAAGCTATTTTTAGCCTTCTTCTCCAAATCTGGAGGAATAAACTTGATAGCACGAGGGAAACCAGCGTAGTTATTCTATGATAAAAAGAAGAATAAGTCGAGATCCCAAGAAAACAGCAGAAATGTACTTGTACTATAGGAAGCCTACATTGTTTTTATGGAGTAAATAAAAATCATGGATGCATGTCCTTCTGTCGATGGGAAATTTTAAATTATGGTTTTGAGTTGAGTCACTTTCTTGCTTTTAAAGACTGCCTGAACATATTATTTTCATTCTGAGCGGAAATACATCCATACATTTCATTTTACTCCATTTTCCTGTGATAATTAATACACATTGGTTGCTTTCTTGATGTCTCAACTTATTTATCTCTCGTTATCTTGGTTTTACAATCAGATTGTGGTCACAGAAAAACTGAATAAAATTAATGTCCGCTTAAGGCTTCCGTCCTTACCAAGGGGCATGTTAGTAACTTACATAAAGGGAGTAGGGAAGTTAAAAGTAAGCAATTCTATGCTATATTTTATGACAAAGTACTCATACCTGGAACACTGTTTGGAGCTAAAAAGCTACCAGGAGAGTTATGGTTTCACCGTTGCGGCCCCCCACCATAACTTTTCCTGTGGCATTTTATCTTCAAACATTGTTCCAGGGACCAAATTTTCCTCTGAGGACAGTTTGTGTATAGAGTTATGAACATATACCACATACATTTCTCCAAATTTCACATTTATCTACCAAAACTCCATAGTGCACATTAAAATTGGACATATTTGAATCACCTTTATAGAAATAATCGCTCTTGCAAGAAAAAAAAAAACGGGTTTGCAGCCCTAGAGAAGAAGAAGGTTTGTGCAGACCAGCTTGCTGCAGTCTTCACACCAATATTCAACAAGTCTCGACAACAAGCCACAGTCCCCACCTGCCTGAAAACAGCAACAATCGTCCCAGTGCCCAAAACATCGGCAATCTCAAGCCCAGCCAGTTGCCCTGACTCCGGTAATCATGAAATGCATGGAGAGACTGGTACTGTCACACATCAAATCCTGCATTCCCGCTGGTTTTGATCAACACCAGTGCGCTTACAAGGCCAACAGATCCACAGACGACGCCATCTCACTCGCACTGCACACTGCCCTCACCCGCCTGGAACAGCCCAACACCTACGTCAGAATGTTGTTTGTTGACTTCAGCTCTGCATTCAACTCCATCCAGCCCAGCAAACTGGTCAGCAAACTGCAAACACTGCAGCTAGGAACCTCCCTCTGTCTGTGGATCCAGGACTTCCTAACCAACAGACCTCAACATGTCAGGCTGGGAGACAACATCTCCTCCACCATCATCCTCAACACCGGTGTACCCCAGGGCTGCGTCCTCAGTCCTATCCTACTCCCTGTACACCCACGACTGCACACCCACCCACAGCTCCAACACCTTTTTCAAATTTGCAGACGACACCACCATTGTAGGATTGATCTCCAACAACAACGAGGCGGCCTACAGAGAGGAGGTACAAACATTCTCTGGGTGGTGTAAAAACAAAAACCTGCACCTCAACACGAAGCAAACCAAGGAGATAATAATTGACTACAGGAAAAAAACAAAAAACACCCCACAACAGTCTGCACATAAACCAGGAAGAGGTGGAACGTGTCTCCAGCTTTGAGTTCCTGGGAGTGCACATCTCAGAGGACCTGAGCTGGAGCCTCAACACAGCACACTTGATAAAGAAGGCACAACATCGCCTCTGTTTTTCTGAGGACCCTGAGGCGCAACAGACTTCCTCACGATCTGCTGTAAAGAACTTTTACTGCTGCACAATCGAGAGCATCCTGACGTACGGCTGTACTGTCTGGTACTCGAGCTGCACCGCAGCAGAAAAGAAGAATCTTCAGCGGATCGTCAAAACAGCTCAGTGGATTGTTGGCTCCCCTCTCCCATCCCTCAGAGACACCCATTCGCGCCGTCTCCACAAGCGGGCCCTCAAACATCCGGAGAGACACATCTCACCCTGGACACTGTATGTTCACCACCCTTCTCTCAGGCAGACTCAGGACCATCCGCACACAGACAAACAGACAGCTCTTCTATCCCACAGCTGTGGACAAACTCCTCAACCCATAAACACCCCCCCCCCCCCCCCCAACAAGACAGGAATACAATGTGCAATAATTACCCAACCGCTGCTAACTGTTCAATATTACTTGTGCAATAACTTTGTAATTCACTGCTTTACAATTGTCTATCTATCTACTCAGTCACTGCACTTTAACTTTAACTGTCTATTTATTATTCATTCATTGCACTAAAACTGTTTATT